CACATTGTGTTCAGAACCCGCCGGGAGGTGTCTTCTAGATTCCAACAGGTTCACCGACCTCTCGGATATCCAGTGACTGTTGCGATGACGATGGATAGTGTCACAAGTAGATGCTCCTGCGTCGTGCATTGCGGCGGAGATCCTATTCCACTGAAGCTCAGCGTCATTAGGACAAGTCAGCGAATGTTGTGTACAGTACTTCTTGATAGGCTTGCCTGACAGAGGACTGAGACAATTTCTCCGTTGCCAATCGTACGGGACACATGGTGCGCCTCCCGGTAAAGTTCATGGAGAAACGACAGCCTACCAAAGCATGATCAGAGTGGACACAGGTACTCCAGTATGGGCGGCAATCCAGGATGGAACCACGCCATCTGTAACTTATGGCTATGTGGTCAATTTGTGATCAACTGGTGCTCCGCACACAGTTGCAGCAGACGTTCACCCTTGTCAGTCCGTTCGGAGTTAAGCCCACAATTAACACCCAACTGAGCTTCTGAAGAGCTCAGACGCCCTACTTGTGCGTTCAAATCACCTGCAAGTACTATACTATCTGAACTAGTAGCACTGCGTAGTAGCGCGTTCAGTTCATCATAGACTGTGTCCTTGACAGCATTAGGACTGCAGTCGGTGGAAGCATAAGCGGAAATCACAAACAAACAGCGTTTTGTGCTACGTCGTGAATCCACCTTAGCTGATGTCGTCAAACGGGTTGCACATAAACGGCTGTTCACCGGAATCCAATCAATCAGCGATTGCACAACGTTGGAGCTTAGAATGATACACCAGCTGCATCGGCGCCTCCGGATGCATGCAACCAATAACGAGAGGATAAGCCGGGTACAGTTAATTCAATAACTCCGTTAGGCTCAATGATCCTAGTTTCGGACACACAACACACATCAATACTCAGTGTGTCCACGATGCGTGCGGGTGCAGCCTGTTGACCTGTTTGACTTAGAGGTCGAACGTTGCATGTCGCCATGGAAACGGGATGGCGTGACCTTATAAAGGACTTTTGCCGATAGGCGTCCGATAGGTGCTGGGGGATGGTGGCTGCAGGTGGTTCTACTCCAGTAACACTTAGGTTACTGTCAATTAAGCTGGGAATTATAGAAGGAAGGTTAGTAATGGGGGTTGGGATGAGAGTAAGAGAATAAGGTGGAAAAGAAAGAAGGGCAGCGCCAGCAGTAGCATGTTTTCGCTTATCCGCCCTGCTGTATGCATCAGATAAGGCGACCCTTGATAGTGCGCGACGGCCGATGCAGGATGAAGTTTTTGTTTGAAGAAAATATCATGGTTGTATGTGGGCTGAGATACTGCCAGGGCCCCCAGACCTAGACAGGATGGATGGATGTCCAGGGTATCAAAAAAAACCAGCGGCTAAAGACAAGCGGCTTCTCCGCAGGGTTACAAAACTTGGGTCTGAAGCGCATCATAACTAACGAATTTTCTTTCCTTTAAAATCCTATGTACAGCTACAAAATGAGCACGCGCTGATCAACAGCCCTGTTGCGTGAATCCGGTTTCAATATGTTGACGACGGGAGTGTATACTCTTGCTCCACTGCTTAGACAGTGATCCAATAACCAAATGACAAGAACTGCACTGACTCGCTTATTATGCTGACTAAGCGCAGTCCCCCTCTCGATCGTCCCAATACGAGTCGGGCTGCTAGGCCAAACAAAAACGCCTGCATCACGCATTTCTAATTGCGTGTGCCGTGCTGTCAACATGTCGATCGTTCCACTGGATACTACGCCACCGTCCGTCCCTCAACGAGTAATCACTTAGCGTAGGTCTGTTCAGCATTTCATATCTATGCACATCTAGGAGTAGAGCTACAATAATGGTCCGCAGGCGCGCAAGTGCTTTGTGAGTACGATTTCTGAAAGCCCTCATTCACTATTGGATGGCCAGAAAACTGTTGGACATTTCTCGATTAACTGTGTATGCAGGCGTTTCATTGTGCTACTCATACAAATCGGACCACATTTAGATCATGTACTTTAGGCAAGACGCTGGGGTTGTTGCATATTTTCTAAGAACTTCGTCGAGCGGAAAACTGTTTAATTCCGTCGCATTGCGTAAGCAAACGCAAAGTAATGGAACTCACTTTAGCTGCTTCGGATGTTCTACCTCCTGAAGGACCTAGGCCTCTACAAATCTGGCTTTGATAATGTCCATCCAGCCAGAATAGTCGCCGGTATTCTCTGGCTTCCAATTTGTTTGTGGCCTATTTTGACCAAGATTGCAGGGAAGATTGTGAGGAAGTGTTTGCTACAGCTATCCCGGACAAAAGATCTGACCTCCGAAAAGCACTGTTTCATGACAGGTCTTTCGTGCATCACCAATCTGCTCCTGACGTGGCATGATTGGTTGCAAGCAATGAACCAGGAGAAATCTATCGGCTCGATCTATATCGATTTCATCAAAGTGGTCGACAATGTGAACCGTGTGGCCCTCCTCCACAACCTGAGAGTGTGCAGTATTGACGGCTTGCTGCACCAGTTAATCTGGGCGTTTCTCCTTGTACGCTGCTTGGCCAACTGGTATCCTTCCACTCGTGACGGACCCCAAAGCACGGTGCTGGGGCCTACATTGTTCTCCATTTATATCAGCGACCTACCTCAACTTCTTCGGTTGCTCTGTGCCTAGTTTGCCAACGGCCTGAAGATGTGGAGAGTGATAGGCATTTCCGACGACTGTAGCCTACTTCGGCAAGATCTCAACTCTTTCCATATGGTCCCCAGAAATCCGCCTCTCCATCCATCCATTCAAGTCGGTATTCATGAGCCTGAGGAAGTGGTGACGGCCGTACCTACACTCGACGGCCAACTGCTACATCCTACACCTTACGTGAAAGACCCAGGCGTACTGTCAAGTTGTGATTTGAAATCCATTGACAACACGTATTGCGCATACTATGGGCGATCAAACGCAGCTCTTGCAATTAGTCTGAATAAATTGCCATTCGCCTCTTCTCCAGCATCAAACTAACGCTAGTGTAAGGCTCGTCTGCCTATTGTCCGACAACTCGCGACGAGGCGCAGAAGATTGAACGGGTTCAACACATCGCAAAACGCTCATCCCTTATATGCGAAACTTACCGTACGGGGACAAGTGGAGAAGGCCGGGACTATACACCCTTGACTATCGTCCGTTGCGAGCCGAACTCATTATAATGGGCCGTATTTCACATCTAAGTGACTTTCCCATGCTGTGGTCACCGCTTTCCTTGCGCACTCCTTTCAGCATACGCGGACGCCAGTACAAGCTCGTGTTTCTCATCCTATTTGCTTTGAACTGAGAATGTCCAATGTTTGAAACAGTCTGCTCAAGCATAATTTGGTAGCGAATTCAGTGCAGCAATTCAAACTATTGTTAGATGCGCATTTCTCGTATGTTAGATTGCGAACGACTATTCACTGGTATCTCCTTTTGGAGCCCCAATTTGTTTTGATTTACACGTTTCTTTACGATATCACTTCCGAACATGAAACACGATCACGATATTGACAAGCCATAAATAATGTTTTTTTAAAGTTTTTGACCATACTTCGATGAAGTTGTACAGATCCAAGTTTCCAGTTGCTCCTACAATACAGCATTCAGTAATCATATAACATTTCTCTTCGTGAATGAATCATACGGCGGAATTGGAAGGAGGCAGTTGCACTATCGATCCTTAAAGTGTGTTCTAAATCCTCGCATTGTTAGACCTGTTACTCTAGCTAGTGTACTTCTGAAGTGTCAGGAAATACTTATTCGAAATCTGGTCTGCAAACAACTTATGGTCTACAACTTTATCGAAGCGGGACATCACAGATTCGTCAGAAAAAACCATACCTTATCAACCTGCTGTGTTCTGACGAAATATTTTCGTGTCTTATTGAAGGGACATCGGTAGAAGTGTGTTACTTTGATTCGATTGATCACTGTTACTTGCTAAAAAGGTTGATGTAGTTTGGACTTCATCTTTAGCCACTTTTTTTGGCTGTCCGCGCTCCATTACGGTATGAAATTATGTTTGGGTTGGCAACGGTAATTCAAGCACAGATGCTGTTCATAATGGGCCCCAGAGACCTCTTCTCGGCTCGATGCTATGTGCTTGAATGATCTGGCCTTTTTACTTGACTACCCTTCCTAAATTTTTACTGATGCTTTCAAGGTTGTTACTACCACTATTATGTGGTCACACTCAACGGGTTTCTCATTGAACGCCAGCAGATGACAAATTTTAACTCCATGTGTGATTGTGATATATGCATTTGTTGGGTCCATGACATTGCAGCGTGTTACGGAGGCACACGAGCCAGGTATAATCGTGACGAATAACTCCAGACCTTCGGCGCAGTGCAATCATGCTGCTAACAAAGTATGACCGGAGTTGTTTCGACTCAAGAGGGCTCTAACTTGTACCAAGCTAGAGGTCTTTCTCCTCTTGTACAACACGGTAGTCAGACCACATCTGAACTACTGTGCTGAAGTCTGGTTGCCCTCCCTACAGAAGCATAGCATTTGTATTGAGAATGTGCAAAGACTGGCGACTCGAATGGTAGATCAGCATAGGTTCTCATATTAAGGTCGATTAGATATCTTAGGATTGATCTCATGAAAATACACAGATTAAGCCTGGGCTCAGTAGAGATGTTAAAAATCATGCACAGTCTCAGTTGCACCGATCTTTTTGAACCAGCTACATCAGACCACTTGCGGAGCCATGGTTTGCAATTGAAATGGCAAAGGTCTGGACTAGTTATAAGAGCTAAATTCTTCGCAAATCGGGTTGTGTCTATGAGGAATAAGGTTTCCTCTGTATCATTGGAGTGTGAAACGCTAGGGGACTCCAAACGATGTCTGGATAGAAATTTGTTGGTCTTGTTACCCCAACTTCCTTGTGAGATCACGGCATTCTCTGATCACGACCTATTAATTTACGCAACTTCATGAAAATGTTGGGATTGTGTTGCTTTTACCCCTGTCTCTCTCCATTGTAGACGAAAGAATCTTCTATCACGTCGCAGTGCTGGGGATTCTGTTTCGCTTATTTGCACACCAAACGGGACTCTCGTTAAGGAAAGGCGTTTCGTCCCTGGATCCTGTGCAGTGCTAGCGGGGTAATCTCTACTATGCCAGTGTCCCGAAACCACTCCCGCTCTGTGCATGATGGTGTTGACCATGAGAAGTCTAGAAAAAGACGGAGATCCGTTAGTAGAGGCAGTGACACAGTGGCTCCAAAGAGGGATTCCAATCCTGTTGAGCCTTCCAAACCCCAAGGTAAGGTCTTTTCTTCGGATCTTATATTTTGCAGCTGAGGTAGTTGATATTTATGGCAAAACTGGCGGAGCCTACATTCCTCCCGCTCGACTACGGCAAATGCAGGCACAAATCACCGACAAGTCTTCTGAAGCCTACCAGCGCATTGCATGGGAGGCCCTGAAAAAATCGATTCACGGATTTATCAACAAAGTTAACGTATCCAACATTTCCGACGTCGTTCGACAATTACTTTCCGAAAATATCGTGCGTGGGAGGGGTCTTTTGGTCCGATCCTTGATAACAGCACAAACAACCTCACCGACATTCACGCATGTCTTCGCTGCGTTAGTTGCCGTCATCAACTCCAAATTCCCCCAGGTAATCTTTGCAGATTCCCTATTTTATTTTCGGCATCCATTTACTCAATCTTACATATCAACTACACGTGGCGTCTTCTTCATTGCAAGTCGGCTCTTGTCATTTTTTGACATTTGTATTTACGGAACGCCGATCCTTTAGTTTAAGTGATCCTTGATTCATTTGGAGCATACTCCATGACGCTTCCGCAGTCACACCGTTACATCCAACTTGTACTTCGATACGATCACCCATGTGTTTTTCTGTTTATCATTTCGTCTGACTTCGTTGTCCCCAGTGTGCGTTTCCCTGGCGCTTTATTCCACCACTTTTCGACGCATGTTAAGCGATACACTAACCTCGTACATACTTCACACGTTACTCCCATAGTTTGCATCCTTTGGGCTCGGTCAACACTTGACTAATCTTTGACCTTGCCGCTGTACACCGACCTCGCTGACCGGGATTATGTAAGCGTTCGCTAGCATACCACACTTATTCGCTAGAGTAGATACACATAGTTAACTTGTTATGCCGTCATCCTCGCGGTTGATCTCCAGCATCTTCCCTGTGCGGTCCATCTGGTTCTCTCACTGTTGCTATGACTCCCAGGAGGAGATCGCACACTAACATAATACGATGGTTTGCGCACATCAGCAATCCAACGGGTAATGCTGGAGATACCGTCCGTGTATTTTCACTACTATACTTCTTTCTTTCGAGACGCAATTTCAGTGCTTTTATCATCGGGAGTGGTGAAGATGTCGACTTCTCTGTTACTTCAAAACGTCTGTGGAAGGCAACAGTGCACGTTGTGTTGGGAGTGTCAGATCAGAGTGAACTGATGGACCAGCCGAGCAAGTTAGACAGCCAATGAGAGATGGGCGCAACTGATTCGATTACTGGACACGGATTAGCCGACATTCGTGTGAGTTACTCACCGTTTGTTTAACTGAGTCAAAGGAGGAGGAACCTCATCGACTCAGAAGGCTGGTTAGTTATGGATGTGAACGTGTAACTTATATCGAGGAGCTTGATTTGCCAAACATGCTGTAATTTTCCCTAGGTTGGCTTTGCCGAATAAACCCTTGTCCCTGAAAGACTGAGTTACGCTACATACATGTTCCAAACTCGGCTCAGTAAACTCACCTCGATTGGTTTTGGTCACCTATTTGCTGAGCTGTATTTGACCCTGAATGAGCACCATTCCTGTTTATTGATTCGCTACCACCCAAATCAAACCATGCTGACTTGCCGAACAACCTCGTGGTGCCAGCTGCGTGGTTCGGGTTTTTCCCGTTCCAGCAAATGGTTCGGAGGCGGTGTTCCAGGACGTGGTGGGTTTTCGCCTGACAAGCGTTCTCCCTATAAAGAGTCACAAATGTAGCATCACGTCCACTGACGGATCATGGACCACACTGCTTACTACTGCTCCTGCTATGCCCATCTTCTATGCTAACTAAACTGCTCAACCTCCACTCACAGATCGCCCCGCCTCCCGTCCTTCACCTATATGTACTCTTATGTCTTCTTCGCTTACCGTCACAAACGACCCACGTCTCGCAACTGATGGAAGCAACAGCTAAACTCCCGGTTTCCATTGTCCTGCGATCGCAACCGCCTCTTACTCTACCGAAGCTCCAGCTCTTCTTCGACCTGGTTCTCCATTCATCCTCGCAGCGTTTAATGTTCGAACTTTGATGCAGATCGGACGACAAGCATGTCTGGTCCGTACTCTTGAAACACTTTCGGTAGACATCTGTTGCCTTTCAGAGACCAGATTACAAGACTAGCGCCGTCATCGGAATGGCCTCTCCGGTAAACCCTGACGCCAAATACTACTTGCGGCTTTCCGGAGACCCAGAAGCTGCCGCCACTGGCCAAACTGGTGTTGGGGTTGCACTGAGTGCCAGGGTTGAATCAGTTCTGCTTGACTGGATCCCAGTCAACAGTTGGCTATGTGCCGTCAGACTACGAGGTTTATGTAACGTATGCAGGCCTCGAGGCGTTAAGCGTGTTTTGTTTGTCGTCTCCGCCTACGCCCCTACAGACTGCAGCCCGCATGCAGTTAAAGTTAGCTTTTACCAGCAGCTACATGAACTTCTGCGTTCCTCCAAAATGACTGATATAGTCCTTCTTGCCGGGGACTTTAACTCACGGGTTGGCCGCCTTCCACCAAGCGAGCACCACCTTGGGGGTAGTTTTGGTCTCGGTGGCAGTCCATCAGACAATGGAGACTGACTACTTGCTCTTTGCTCTGAGCATCGCTTGTATCTTTCCAGCACTAGTTTTCGTCACTCGAGGAGACACACTGCTACTTGGCACCCACCCTCCCAGCTTGACCACATAGCCATCAGCTACAGATGGCGCGGCAGCGTAACGGACTGCCGATTGTACTGGTCAAGTTATCTAGAAACCGATCATGCATTGATTCATGCTAAGATTTTCATGCGTTTCGGAGGATCACCCAAGCGCGCTCACTACCGACCGAACGTCGCAAATCTACAAAACCCTGCGATTTTAACCAGGTACCAAGCCTCACTGTCAACCTTGCTTTGCTCAACTATTGGCGGTGATCTCGATTCGCAATAGGCACAAATCAAAGATGCCTTAGTTTCCGCCAGTATTGACACTTGTGGAATTGCCTGTCATCCACCAAAGCATTAGATTTCCGCCGTCTCCTTGCAGCTGATGGACAAACGCCGCTTGATTCCGTCGGATTCCAGACACAGTGAAGAACCCCAATCCCTGGGTCGAGAGTTGCGCAGGAGCCTGCAAATGAACCGCGAAGCTTGGTGATGTGAACCTGCTAGGGAGATGGAGCTTGTTAGTCTCTCTGGTAATACCAGAAAACTTTTCCATCTCATTCGAGTCACCGGTGTTCAATATGGTATAAGAGAAACAATATGCGAAGTGGGTGGCACCTTCATCACCAATCTTCAACGACGGTTGGAGCGGTGAGCCGAACATTTTGGCTTGCAGTTGTTGGCCCCAGCTCCATCTGCTACATCTGACGCTCGCGCTCGGGCCGAGTGGTCTACCCCCACAGATCCTCCCTCTTATCAGGAAATCGAGCAGGAGCTTCGCCACTTAGAGCATTATATAGCCCCCGGCTCTGATGTCCTTCCTCCAGCTCTATTTAAAGATGATGGCGCTTCGCTGGTTCGAGAACTCACCGCTTTGTTCTCGAAAGTTTGGTCGAAAGAGGAAGTCCCATCATCTTGGGGGGAATCGATAGTCGTCCCCAGCTTCAAAAAGGACCTGCGCACAATCTGCTCCAACTACGGAGGCATAAGCTTAGTCCCCGTCGTTTGCAGGCTGCTGGTGTCCATCATACTTCGCAGGCTATCCCCAACGCGCGAATCATTGCAGCGAGAAAAACAAGCTGGGTTTCGCCCTGGTCGCGGCTGCATCGATCAAATCTTCACACTCCGCCAGATCATCGAGCTCCGCCATGTGTACCAGAGGCCAACGATTGCTGTGTTCTTGGATATCCGTGCAATCTTCGATTCTGTCGATCGGACGGTACTGTGGCACTGCCTATTGAGGAATGGCGTCCCCGAGAAGTTCGTCTCCATACTGCGCGCTCTCTGTGGTCTGACCTCGGGCAGGGTTATGGCTTATGGCAAGCTTTCGCCTATCTTTGTGGTCTCCAGTCGAGTTCGACAAGGATGCTCTATCTCTCCGTTCCTATTCAGCTTTGCCATTGAGGATGTCCTGAAGAACGCTCTGGGCGATTCGTTGGACGCTGGCGTTGAGCTCCTCCTAGGTAGTCGAGTTGTTGGTTTGGATTATGCTGATGATATCGTCTTGCTGGGTGACGATCCACACGTCGTCCAATTTACACTAAACCGCTTGGCGATTGAAGCATCAAAGTATGGTATGTACTTTTCGCCATCCAAATGCAAGGCTCTCTTTCGAGACTGGCAGGTTCCTCTGCCTGCACTCACTCTTGCTGGTGAGACACTAGAGGTTGTGGAGAGCTTTGTCTACTTGGGAAGTTGCATCACTGCTGGCGGGGCTGTTGGAGACGAGATTTCGATGCGCATCTCAAGAGCACGCTTCGCTTTTTCTAGGCTGAGGCACTTGTGGCGTCGCCACGACATTCGTCTCTCCATCGAAGGGCGGGTCTATTGTGCAACTGTTCGTGCTGTACTGTTGTACGGATGCGAGACCTGGCCCATTCGTAAAGATGACTTGCGCAGGCTATCCGTCTTCGAGCACCGCTGTCTGCGGTCCATTGCCCGTGTGTGGTGGCAGCACCACGTAAGCAATGTGGAAGTTAGACAGCGTGTCTTGGGACGTGGAAGCCACTCGCTCGAGGAGCTCATCTCACTGCATCAACTGCGGTGGTTGGGACACGTATTGCGCATGCCTGTCCAGCGTTACCCGCATCGTGCGTTGTTTGCGGTTGCTGGACAGGGCTGGAAGAGACGGTTTGGTGGACAGCCTACAACATGAAGAAGCCGCATAAAAAAGCTGACGAAACAGTTAACCTCGGTCGATTGTGATTGACTACCTGGTTGGGGTCCGAGAGATTCGAATACATGCTGGTTGAAGACCTTGAAAGCCATAGCTCAAGATCGATGTCAGTGGCGGACGTGAGCATCGGTATTTTGCGGTATCCCTCCTTCCTCCCCCTAAAATAAAACAAACTGAAAAATTTCAAAAGCTGCGAGTGGTAAACTGAACAAAAAGGCTTTTGTTCTTGTTATTGTTTGCTTATTATTCATACTGTTTTCCTATTCAGCCATGATTCCGATGACACAATATCTGTACCACAGATTGTGTGTAATATATATAGCCTCACAAATCTACCAGAACTTGCCTGCGACTGATTGTGGTCGCTGGACTTTAAACTTGGGCTGTCTGTAATCATACACAGCCAGTGCTGAATCCTCTGAAGCCGTGTGACCGTAGTCAGACGGCTCCCACTGGACTGTTCAATCACACTTCCGAGTTGAACGTACTCCCCACAGGCTTGTTGGTCAGCTTATTGAGTCAATGTGTCGAGTGAGTACTCACAGGCAAATCTTCATTTACTCCTTGCTTTATAGATCTGACTTGCGTTAGTTACTGGACTTGTGTATGCCCTTTAGCAAGCTCCAGTTCGGAATGGAAGGTCTGAGGGTACCCTATACATACAAGACATCGTCACCAGTAATCTCTCTTCTTTCTTCCCTCTTTCATTTTCACTTCCCTTCTCATATTTTCCAGCAAGGAACCAAAGCCAATTTCATCAGCCATAATGGTGGTGAGACTAGCTACCTCCACATTCAGTCTTTCAATTTATGCACACTTCTAGGCGCCTATCCTTACCACTGCATAATTTCGCAGTAGATGCTTGTGATTCCGCAGCAAGCATACGGCGTGTTGCTATACTTGCCCTTATCAAACTGAAGTTGCACTGATAAGTCCTGCGTGTCTCGTTTCTCTAATGATGTCTAGTCCATCGTTAGCTACAGGTGGAAAACACTCGGTATTGTGCCGCAATATAGAATAAAAGAAAAAACGCGAAACAGGCACGCCGGTTGCCTCACCGGTAACGAATGGACATCGTTCCGGATAGCTAACAGCATGCTATTGTGCCACAAAAAAGAGCCAAGTGGCTCCAACAGAGGCCAAAGTCAAAATAAGTGCCTTCATTCCCCTTGATCAAGTCATCGCTTGGCCACCTCTTCTCTTCTTCTGTCCGCAACCCCGGCGCGCAAACAACGCACGTCGCGGGAGTCGGTGGGCTGGCATGCGCAACACAGGGCCGAGTCATCGGAGTCTGGTGAGTGAAATAACGGTGCTGAGCGGTTCGCTTCTTCTTTCTGCATCAAGCGTCGAACACGCTCATTGCTCACACGGTGTTCCCACCAGATCTGAGCCAAATTGCGAAGCACCGGTGGTCGAACGTAACTAGCCCCTTTATGTCGGCTGATCTAATGGGCCAGGCTTTACGACCGTACAGTAGAATCGAACGTACGGCTGCATTGTATACTCCACCCTTCTGGGAAAGAGTGATATCTCGCCGGCGCCATATGTGGCGAAGGTTAGCAAGGGCGCCTCGTGCTTTTTCTATGCGGTTTGTGACCTCATCTTCAATTTCAGCGGCGCTGATACAACAACCTAGCTAATTAAACTTTTGAACGACTTCTAGCTGATTCCCACCAAGGGTCAGCGCAGGAGGTGGTCCTTGCCAATCTTGGAGGAGAGCTTTGTACTTGGAGGGCGCAAAGCATAGCCCGAAATGATTGACAGCCAGTGCTAATCTGTTCAGTACCACTTGGCACGTTTGGGAGCTGTCATACTAGGGCAATATCGTCTGCATACTCCAAGTCAAGAAGTCATTCACCTGGGAGAAGATCCACACCTACATCGTGTCCTATTAACGCAATCTCCATGATTTCGTCAATATCGAAGTTGAAGAGGAAAAATAACAGCGGGCATCCTTGTCTCACACCACTGGAGATATTGAAGGGTGGAGACAGCTTGCCTTAAGCCCTCACTCTGCCCGAGCTACGCTCTTAAAGCACTCGCATAATATTTATCTACTTCTCGGTACACCTTTCCTTAGCAGACAGTCCCCTAGGGCACGTCGATCCACTGAATCGAAGGCACCTTTGATGTCGAGAAACACGACAACGGTGGGCCGCCACTATATGTGGCGGTGCTCCAACAATTGACGCAATGTGAATATGTGGTCGGTGCCTCTCCGACCACGACTTAACCCGGTTTGCTCCTCACGAATCTGGCTTTCACGAGCTCCAGGCAGTCTGGGAAGGCTTACAGGAGCAAGCAATTTGGAAGCGATGGGGATCAGATTGATTTTTGCTGTGGTTGCCGCATTCTGAACGCGGGTCTCCTTTGAAGATCGTGACAATAACGGAACGGCTCTAGTCGGTTGGGACAGTTTTCTGCTCCCACAGTTTCACTAGTAATTCGTGTAAATCATTCACTAGAGAAAGAACCCACAAATTTGAAGAGGACTGGATGAAGATCATTTGGTCCCTCGAATTTATTTTACTTCAACAGTCCGATCTCACCTTCGACTTCTGGGCGAGAGCTTGGATCCAAAGGGATAGCCCAGGTTAGCGGTAAGATCATTAGCCGGTGAGGCATCTAACAATCCCGATCGATTAAATTGCTTTTTAATATGCTCAGCCCAACGCTCCAAACGTTTTGATAAATTGTATAGTTTCACTATCACCAGGTCTCCTGCTGCCCGTTACCCGTATCAGACGGAATAATTTACGATGGTTGCGAAGGGCAGCGGCCACTTCCATCTCTGACGCACAATGAGACCACTAGGATTCTCGGTCTTTCTTCAGACTAACATGGAGTTTTGCCCTGTTGTCTTTGCGAGTCTCCTTGTGTTCGCTTCCATCAGAAATGTGCCGGCGAGCGTTGCTAAGTTCCATAGACTGCGAAGAGCTCCAGTGTCTATTTTGGCTAGTGGATTTATCACATGATGATTTACTTACTTCTAGTAAGATCTGATGAAGGTGCGATCAGTGACCTTCTACCGTATTCATTGAGCGCTTGCTCAACCCGAACACCAGCGTACTTCGATGCGCATTCAGAACGTCTGGCTTCTTCAGTTGGCTGGTGTCTAGGCGTGCACAGTGTCGTCGATGGCGACTGCCAAGACGCACCAGCAGATAAGCATATACAAGTGCATGGTCAGTGTCCATACATGTACTCCAAACCGAGCGACAGTTTTGGATGCAGCCTGTCCAACGATAACTGATCACGATATCTCGATCTGCGTCCATAGCTGGTTCGAGACTGGTAGGCCCCATGTCACCTTCCGACACGTACTGTATCAGAAGTTAGTGCTCACGAGAAATAGACGAGCATTTTCACACAAATGGAGTCACTGCTCACCGTCATCATTACGGGAGCCTACACTGCCCAGATGCAGCTCACCAGTGGACAATTTCCCAACTTGAGCGTTCAGATCCCCAGCCAGCACTACAGTGTCCGTGCTTCTTCTGTGACGAAGGAGATCATTCAGTTAACGATAGAATTAGTTTTTTTACAGAGTCATTGCTAGGGATGACAAACAGACTCCTGTTAGTCCCGCACAACTTTGAGGCTTTGAACAAGCCAGCTAGTCGGACCGCACACATCCGGCTAGATTGGGATCCAATCAAGCAAAGCAGTTTCATTGCGGGGACTCAGGGCAATACCAACACCGGCTCGGCCGGTACTCGAAGCTGAATCGTCTCCGGATAGGCGCAGTGAGGAAGCACTGCTAGCGTCATCTGAAGGGGATCGCAGAGTGAGAACAGAGCTCGAGTCTTGTAGGCGGGTTTCCGATAAGCAGCAGATATCGGTATAGAGGGTCTCTAAGGTTTGGGCAGGTGCTGTTTGTTGACTTATCTTTAACAATGTGCGTACCTTGAGGCATGCCAATCTAAGGGAGGATCGGTGGCTCCAAATAGAAGCGATGAACTGGGCTTGACCGCTTGTCTAGACACGGGCTTGTCGATAGGGCAAAAGGGACGCTCGGCGTTTGCATGTGAGCTGGGACTAGGCTGGCTGTTCGCTCGTTTCAGCTAAACCATCATTACTCAGTTAACTGAACTCACCCGTGATCTCTATTGCTGGTTTTGCCAACATCTCGGCTCTAGTCGCAGTGTTGCTGTCTTTACCTGACGTGTGCACATAGGTACGAATTATGTATTGTTCTGTGCTGCGCGAGGACATCACCTACTTTTCATCCACAAGTCTTTTTTATTCTTCTATGGGCGAGATGACCATCTATTTGTTTTCTGTTGTTTGAACTAAGTCTGGTGTCGATCACTACAGTTTGACTCCACTTGTGCCAAAGAGTTAATGGCCTCAACTTGATTATTTCCGGGCAACCCTCTCCTACTGAAGAGGTTTTATCTTTCGTACCTGTGATGATACTCTTTTAACCGTAGTACCACTGTGGCCTGTTCGGCTTTCCTCGAATTCACTCGAGGAGTAAGTGTAATCCACGGAAACGTATTGGGTTTACACATAAGTGTTGCTCGTGACTCGAATCTGCTACCATTTTGATGAAGGCGGCGTTCGTCTTCAACCTTCACATTCGCTTGGTGACGTTTAACCCACAGTCTAGTTACACCATGAGAAACTGGATTTCAGGAGCAGTTGATCACCTCTTTTTTCCTTGTCGTTGTCCTCCGTTTAGCTGCAACACAATCGTTTCGCCCATCGTCATTACAGACTATTGTTGACTTCATTGTTTAAACCTGTGCATCATTATAAGTACCCCACCGTCAACAAATCCGTCTCATCTTAGACCGACTGGTAGGCAGAAGCTTGCATGCGGTGACGATTTACACAAGATTTTATACACCTTTTCTAGTCCTAGATCAACTTATCTCCTGTGCCTTCTCCCTCTGTTTTCATTCTGTTCTAGGTTGGCGAACTTGTCCTCAAACGCCTAATCAACGAGTTCAGAAAAGCTTTCCGAAGAAATCAAAAGGATCGCTGTCTCTCCACTGCTCGCTTTCTTGCACACTTGGTGAATCAGAAGGTTGTGCACGAACTCATCGTTTTGGAGCTCCTCACTTTGCTGCTGGAGCAAACTACCGATGACAGCGTAGAAGTGGCAGTGTCTGTGTTAAAGGAATGCGGAGCAATACTCACCAAACTTGTTCCCAAAGGAATACATGGTGTATTTGAGCATTTGCGACGGATTCTGAACGAAGGAAATTGTGACAAACGTATATCTTACATGCTTGAAGTAATGTTTCAGGTGAGTTTCTTTTCTTCCAGTCTGGGTCACTAGATTTCTGCGTTTTTCCACCTTTACACACCCTCGGTACGTACTATGAAAACTGACCCAACACTACCGCCACCGTCTGTGATTTACCTTCTGATCGTAATTGCTCGTTAGTATAATTCGACTCCCCACGGTCTCTGTCTAGCCGGCATATGATACCCACTCTGGTCCTAGTAGGATACAGTCCAATACAGTCACTGATGATAATGATACTAGGAGCTTTACTCCCCTAACTGGTTTGACAAGGGAGGCTGAGTTGCCATTGGCGTCTGCTGTCAGAAAACACCTTAGTTTGAAAGCGTGTTTCTCCCACATATGTTTACGTTCACAGTCTACCTTGTCTTCTCGTATCGACATAATTCGCGCCCAAAGGGACAGTCGGCCGTTCAACCTTACTTTAAGTCTCCGGTGGTAAACTTTAATTGAACCTCGTACAGTGGACTGCTTTCCGTACTCATACACCAATACATGCATATAGCATATGTCGTGTTTGTGGTCGGATGCTTGCTGTGGTAGTCTAATGTTTGATCTGTGTGGGTCTTCTTCTGATGTACCCATGCTTTAAGCTTTTCGTGAGTAGTTCTGTGGACCAAGAATGGTAATTCGCTATTCTTCTCCAGTTTAGTGGTAAATTTGATGTCCTCAAATGTGTTGTTGATTAGCTCATGCGTTTTTCTTATGAAAATGTTGTTTGGGGATGACTAACATGTCGTTCACGTACCGGATCTGTGGTTATACGCTCCAATTTCTGCATCACAACTTATACAGTAACTCCTGATATTGGCGATCCCATGTCTGTTCCTTTCAACTGCTGATATACTTGCCCATCAATGTGGAAATATTTGGTCATGGAGAGGCCCCCAGCAACCATCCACTGAACTGCAGACTGAGCCGCTACGTCAAGGTCTCAATCAGATTCATTTGTGCCTGTTGTTGCCGTTGCGGCATTTTCAATTGTTCTGCAGAGCAACACCTTGCATTGCCACTTTTCTCCATCGGCATTTGTCGTAATCTCCTTACGTCCTTTGGCCGAGTGGTCTTCGGCCGGTGGCTGTGTGGTCTGCACGTTTGCTTTGCACCCATAAGGTCACCGGCTCGAATCCGCGGTATACTCAGTCCGCGCGCGACTGGTGGTGGTCGCGCGGCAGCGAAACGTTGTTACGGCGTACAGGTGACACACATTACCTGCGATTCCGGTCGAACTGAACTCCCTCCTGCTAGCTCCGAATCCTAGCCGGAAATCAGTAGACGAAATCGTGTTGCAGAACCAGCTACTGAAGCGGAAACAAGTAGTGTGAAATCGACAGACATTTCACGTGTCAACCGGTAGGTCAGCTGTCCAGATTGATTGATCAGTTCCGCTAGCCAATGGGTTGGTGCTCACATCATATGGACGCGAACGTTCCTAAAGTCACATGATGTTTCGCTTGTGCACCATTGGCTCGACTTATTTTCCCCATTGAATTACTGTTTCCTTGGGAGGTCACAGCAATCATCCCTTGAACCATAAGGTGAGCTGCATGCACAACATTTTCAGAAAGTCCGCAACACACCTCATCACAAGGAAATTAAAGAAGAAAGAAACATCTATATTTAATATTGAAGAGCAATGGTTATTTAATAAATTTCATTAGAGGATGCCAGAAGAAAAGAGCAGCTCCACAACATAGAGAATAGGTAGGCAAACTATTAATGCTCCCTTACATTAGGAACATCTCTGAGCCAACAGCGATATTGCTACGTCCACATGGAATCTTGGTAGCCCAAAAACCAAATGCTACAAGACTAAAAGACAGTCAGGATGATGTCACCTAGAGGATAAACTGCAGGGAATGTGACAACCTATATCAGATAAAGTGGGAGAACTTTCAATACGGATCACCGAACACGAAATAGCCATACGATGACATGACCCACATTCCTTGGTTTCTATGCGTGAAGACCAAGTGGGCTACCACTACGACTTAGAGAACGTAAAGATCCTAGCACGCGGAAATTCTCGGTAAGCTAGGGAATTCTTGGAAGCGTAGTATCTTACAACCAATGCAATTCACCGGCACGTTGAACTAGACACTATGTACGCAACACTACCGATGAAGGATCACCAACTTGATCAACTAAGTCTAATGAAACTGCACGTCGGACAACGAGGTCAACCGCAGAGGCACGCGTGCTACTTTCATGAGGTACGAATGGGAGAGATCAATTTCTCTGGTCATGTGCTTGTCAAACAAGCCGAATTCAAGCTGACGGCTTGTCCGCTCAGACGACCGATCACACACACACTAACGCTGCGGATCGCACCGCTCTGCTCCGCTACCTAATTGCGCACTGATGATTGAACGTTTTCAGCGAAACTGCCGAGCTCAGTGAACAGTCCGATCACCAACCAAACAGCTTGGGTTACCAATATTTGCTTGTATATAGTTTTGTAGTTTAACAGCACGCATACCAGTGCCCAGGAAAAGGAGTGTAACTGATCTCTCATACACGCACCGTTGATTGCGTTTGCTAACCATGTTTGACGATCCATGCAACCAGAATTGTTCGTTGTCTTTTTGCTCTGAAGCTAATTAACTAGCCAATGAATGCCAATCAGTGAGGTCGATGCACCTTTGAAGTCTGCCAGTGAGAGTGATCTACCTTGAAGTTTGTCATTGAGCGCACTTTTGCCAGCCAACAAGCGCATTCTCAGACATATAGTAGTTGCTGGGATCTAGGAGCTTTCGACTAGATCATACTCTCATGAACTATATATTTTGAACCCAATTTTGACTATATTTACTGTTTCCTCGAGAGCTCAATCGAGGTTTTGTCAAACGCCTTAGCCTTCTGGTTTGGGAAGTTGGCCGGTTCAGGTTTCGCACTAGCAGCAGGTACGGGCAGTGGAAACCACAACCGGCTCCATATCTGTTAGATCATAGCTCCATGGCGAAGTTCCACGACGACTCGGTTCCACGTTCTTCTCTGTTTTTGCTTCTGTCTAATGCCACCCCAACACCCACTTTTCCTACACACAGTGGACGACTCATCACCACCTTATAGTCGCGTAGGTTGCAGAGTCTTTAAATGATTCGTCGTTTATCACCGTTGCTGTCGATATGATGCTGCCGCCGTAGCCAGTTGCATCTCCAAGTTAACCAGTCTCAAAACTAAATTTCTACTGACCTCACACATGCGAACAGGTCACAGCCATTCAGCAGCTGCACCACACGAGCCGCATGGTTGTGAGCCCAACAATGAGAGCACAGAAGCCTACCAACTCCCGATTTAACAAGCCGCTACTAATGAATCGCCTCCAAAAAGTAGACAAAATGATTAATTGCTCACGATTTTTCTCCTTTTTTTAACAAGTACAAGACTTGGTCCCTCTTATTCGTGCAAAAATCAGGCGTTGAGCTGATGCATAAGTACATACTGGTTGTCGCACCACTTACTATATTCTGTTATTGTAGGATCCAAATCTAGCCATTTCGGCGCAACTTCACACCACATACCGCGCTACTTTCTGCGTTAAATACACTTCACACTACCCGAGGTAAGCAAATTTACTCTTCCGTAAATTCACTTGGTTTTCTCCTGTAAAGCATTAAAATGCCGCTCTGTCATCATCAGAACTTGTCAGTGATGCACGCACCCACAGAGTCCATTGAGGATTACGAGTCTATGACCATGCCTTTGTGGACAACGTCAGAAGCCCTGTCAGTTTCCCATGCTGGTAGCCAACGCGACAAATTAACTAGCACTACTTATCCCCTCAGTAGCAGTTGGCAACATATCTCTCGATTTATTTATCACCATAACTGTTCAATCACTGGGGTCCTGCTCCTACAGAGAGACTAAGAGGATCTTACACCACCCATAGATCTATCCAAACACCCATGTTCAACATCCGTCTAAACGTGGAAGACTGCGCGGCATGCGGATAGTAGCCACCTTTGGTCTGGATCCCTGTAAGCCCCACATTTCATCTTGACATGTTGATCACATCTTCACACACGTGGCATGGTAATCTGTTTGAGGATCGCCTCAATTTAAAGATAACCCAAAGATATGTCCCATTTCGTCACGTTACAGTTTGACAGATGTATTTCATTTCTATTCCTGTGACACCGTAATTCATCGCGGGCCGAAACGATCTCGAATTAACCCGATCAAGTTCCTCTTTACGCATCCTTGCACTGCTCTTGCCTTCACGCACACACATTGAGATCCAAACAAGTCATCCATATGGGTTTACCGACAGCTGCCTCAATATGACCACTGGAATTATTGACGTGTGACAATCAAAGCGAATAGCCAGAACACATTGATGAATTAGTCGAAGTATACTACTGTCCAGAACAGAGCCTGCCTTGTAACCTGAGGACGCGTGTTCTAGCCTGCGTAAGGACCGGGCGAGCCTCGCAGTATCATTAGCCCATGTGCGCCCGGTGGTGCTTGCGCGGCAGCTAAGCGTCGGTACTCTATGCCGGTGTACTGCTGACGCCACTTTTCTTCCCTGCCCAGAACAGACGGTCAAGGGGACATTATGTAGTATGGTTGGCGGCGCCATTCCGGATTTGCCGGTCACTGCGGCCTCCATAGGACAGCCACAGGACGCCTGTGCCTACTGAGGGACCATGGGTGGCTTGCGCTGCACCACTTACATCTCCATTCACACACCCCATACCCAGTGTAAACCCGAAGGAATAAGACCGGGAGACGTGTGGATGGGAACTACGTTTCATCAACGAAGTCGGCCCACACTCCTTCACAGGTAAACACAAACACGCTGTTCATGGGTCTGCTTCTGCTCCGTCTTCGTTTATTCGCCTTGAGCCACGGCTGGGTACCGCAGCGCCGTTTTTTATGTCTGGTCTGTCGTTCCTACCTCGTCGGCATGTAGGTGTCCCGGCTAAACCGATCCGCCAATGAGCCAACCGCGCTTCCTTGCTCTGGCTTGTTGATGCGTGCACCTGATTGGCCAATTTGCCATATGCTTCTAACTTCCTTTCGCTCAAGCGGCTATCCGGTAGCATACTCGCCTGCAGTCGCAGCCCGTGATTGGCCCGCATGGATACGGCCGGCTCCTCCGCTTTGCTTAAGCGACTAGCTACTACCACGGCAACGGCAAATGTTCAGCAAACTACCACCAATACGGTACACCACACGAAGACCGTAAGCACAAGCCGCATCAAAAGCACGCGATATCATGACATGAAAATACGTATTAAGCAGGTAGAAACAAAGACAGCCTTGTTTTACACCAGAAACAACTGTAAAGTCATCCGAGGTGTGTTCACTCAGCTGTATCCTCGCCCGCATACCACTGTGCAGCCATTCAACTTAACTTACTCGGACAACCACACTTACCCAACACCAGCCACAATGCCTCGTGGTTCATCGTATCAAATACCTTGGTAAAATCAACAAACAGCGAGTACAACGGCTAGTGTCGCTCTCTACACTTCTTATGCAACTGACGAGCCGCAAACACCATATCTATAGTGCTGCGACCCGAACGGAGTCCACATTGCTCGTTCGGTTCCACAACCTGACTGACGGGGCGGTTGAGCGGGATTCGGGCGATCACTTTGCCCACACAACTCAGCAAGTTGATGCCACGACAATTCGTGCAATACTGCTTGCACAGTGCTTGTACAGTGGCAGCACAAAGGGTATCTTTCAGCCCAGGAGGCACCTTCTCCTCAATCCACACGCGTTGCGCCAAGTAATGCAATGCAGTTACCAACGCGGGTCCGCCGTGTTTCAATACTACAGGCGGGATCCCGTCGGCCCCTGCACACTTGCCGTTTCACAGCTGAGCAAGTGCTCTCTGTGGCTGATCCACTCTCGATGTTTACGCCAGACTCACCTCGTGCTATTTCAGGCCGTTCAATGTTGACTAATCAATCTGAACGGTTGTTCAATAGACAGTCACAGTGATTGCTCCAGATCTGCATCATGTCTGCAGTCTGTGTGCAGGCATCGCCTGAACTACCATCAAGTAGCGTTCTCAGCGCTGCAACCTCGGTCCATATTCCGCCTTCAAAGAGTCAAAGAATTCCTTGTGTTTGCGGCGTTCGGCGTAGCATTCCATCTCCTTCACCTTCTGCGTCCACGATGCCATTTTTATTCGACGGAGCTCTCGAGTCAGTCGCCGTCGAATTTTGCGAAAATGACTATTCATCTCCAAGTCTCTGGAGTCTGTCACATGTGCCGCAAATGCTTCGTTCTTCTCAGACACCCATGCACCAATCGTCACATTGTTCTCATGAAACCAATCGGGCCGCGTACAGTTTGCGCGCTTGATGGTCTCCTCGGTAGCAGCTGTCACCTGGTCGCGGATGCTATGCCACAGGTCGCCCACTGTGGCTATGCATTTCACATCACACTGATGTACAGCCATTGCCTTCTCCAGCTCAGTACGTTTCGCTACAGTACCGATTTATTATTAAATTATTATTAAATTATTATTAAATTTACGCCGATTCACGACGGGAGTGCAAAACATAGATTTACAAAAATATATGTGCAGTTTGGTCCGCACCAACTTGTGATCAGTGCCACACTCAGTTCCACGCAGTACATGTGTCATGCGCACTTCACGCATTTCACGTTGATGTACGGTAATATAGTCGAGCAGCTGAACGTGACCACTCCGTGGATGCGTCCAAGTTGCAGTGTCACTTGCACTCAGTGCAAACCGAACGTTGGTGATCGTCAGGTCGTGAGTGGCACACATTGAGAGCAACCTGACACCGTTCGCATTTGCTGAACCAATGCCATGCGGACTAATGACAACTATCCAAACGGACCCCCAATGCGTGCGTTGAAATCACTCAGCAGGAATAGTCGATCGCTCCTCAGCACGGACCGTATCACGGAGGATAGCTGAGTGTAGCATTGATCACGCGTGTCATCAGGATAACACATGGTCGGGACGTACATGCTTATAAAAGTGGCAAATTTACCTTTTCCGAGTCGTAGGCGAACAGTCGTCAGTCGCGCGCTGATGCCAGTCGGCTCATCCACCAGCTGGCTATTTAGGCGATCGGATGGTGTAAATCTGGCCTTATGTTCACGTGGTACTGAGGTGGCGTTTCCTACCCAGTAGCACGTATAGCCGACACCAGTTTCATACCACTTACCATGATCAGTGAACTGGGTCTTGCTGTGCGTTGCAATATCAATGTGGTAGCGCGCTAGTTTCATCACGACCAGTGCAGTGCGTCGCTCGAGGCGCTTACTCGAGTTCCTGTCCAGTAGTGTGCACATGTTCCAGCACTCGATGTTGAGTACTTTGCGCGCAGGCATACGATTACATTGGTTTGCAATCGCACGCGTGGTGGTGGTTGTGTTTCGGATGTTTGCTTGAAGGACTCCGCCCGGAGCCTCTGGCTCAATAGCCTGATCCATAAGGGAATGTGCAGCAGATCCAGCTCGGGAGTGCGATTGCCGAGACCCGTTGGGATTTGCTTTGGATCCGTCACACACAGCCTTAGAAGCTTTAGAATCATACATATGTGTTTTGCTCCGTAGTAAGATACGAATCTACGACGGCGGCCAGGCGGAGCAGGGTTTTGGCGGGTTTGCACTAATTTGATTAGGGGCTGCATGGCTTGAGGCGGGCAGTAGCAAACCATTGGGCACCCGGAGTTCCCCCCACACACACACCGTCAGAGACAATGCGTGGCGCTCGTGCTCTACGTCAGTCGAGCGGTGAGCTTATAACCCGTAGACCTGTTGTCTCCCATGTCTAGGTTTTAAGGGAAGAGGGCCGTCGGCCACTTTCTAACCTCCGAAGAGGATGGTGTTTGGACTGAAATACTGGCAGGGCGCCCACACCTGACATCAGAATGGCTCGGGTCCTAAGCCAAAGCTTTCGATTAAATGTACACCCGAAAGACAGCGGGTCCAGCATATGCTCAGTTCACTGACTCATGCGCATTGGTGTGTTCTGGCTGTTAGCTAGGAGAAGGGCGTAACCCAACTCCCACCCAGCGGTTGCAACGGGGTCCATCGCAATGAGGCTGGACCTTACCGTGGTGCGATGGTTTGTGTGCCTCAGCGATCCATTGAGCTATGCTGGGTGGTGCTTTTTTGCACCTTCAGAGCCACTCATACCAGATTGGTCAATGGTTAGAGGCCAGACAAACTCAGCCTCCTGGTCCTCCAGGTTGGGGGTTGGAATGAGGTGGCTCCTTATTCCTTAAAACGGACTCCTTGTAGCCCAACGCCAAACCCGCTGCCTTGCGGTCAGGTTTTTGAACCAAAGGCTTTGGTTGAGAACCCTAATCGTTCTCCTGTCTAGGCCTGGGCAACTTGACAGTATCCTGCCCACGCAATACAATGAATTTCTCTTCAAACAGTTTCTTGATGCTCTGGCCACCGCAGAGGATAATCAACGGTGCCCTATCTGCTGCATCGAGCAGGGTGGATAGGGGTTTGGATGCTACTGCTCAAGCCTTCCCATCTTCTTATTCCCCCTCTTACGCTTTTTCTCTCTTACCGTCCCGTTCCAGCTTCACTTTTATCCCCCCTGTTTTCAACCCCCAATTCTTGGCCCTCCCCACCTTGCTTTGCTAGGCTTTTACCTTCTAGTTTCAACTCACATGTGAACGCGGAGCGTCATTCCTGTCCTGTCGACAAGCCCATGTCCAACCAAGCGGCCAAGCCCAGTTCATCGACTTCCATTTGGAGCCCTCGATCATCCTTCAGATTGGCATGCCTCAATGTACGCACATTGCTACAGATCGGTCAACAGGCAGCACTTGCCCGAACATTAGAGACCCTCTCGATCGATATCTGCTGCTTATCGGAGACCCGCCTGCAAGACTCGAGCTCTGTGCTCACTTTGCGATCCCCTTCAGGTGACACCAGCAGCACTTTCTCATTGCGCCTATCCGGTGACGATGCAGCTTCGAGCACCGGCCAAGCCGGTGTTGGTATTGCCCTGAGTCCCCGGGCTGAAGCTGCTCTGGTTGACTGGATTCCAATCAGTAGCCGGATGTGTGCGGTCCGATTGGCTGGCTCGTTCAAAGCTTCGAAGTCGCGCGGGACTAACAGGTGTCTATTCGTCATCGCTGCCTATGCACCCACAAACTCTAGCGATGATTCGGTAAAAGACGACTTCTATCGCCAATTGAACGAGCTCCTTCGCCACAGAAGAAGCACGGACACTGTTGTGCTGGCTGGGGATCTGAACGCTCAAGTTGGAAAATTATCCACTGATGAACTGCATCTGGGCGGCCAACATGGTGTAGGCTCCCGTAATGATAACGGTGAGCGGTTACTTCATTTGTGTGAAGATGCTCGCTTATTTCTTGCGAGCACTAATTTCCGACACAGCACCCGCCGGAGGGTGACTTGGCGCCCACCAGCCTCGAACCAGCTATGGACGCAAATCGATCACATTGCGATAAGTTACCGATGGAGAGGCTGCGTCCAGAACTGTCGCTCGATTTGGAGCACATGTGTGGACACCGACCATGCACTTGTATGTGCTGACCTGCGGATGCGTTTTGGCGGACGCCCAAGACGACGTGTGAGCGCATTGACACCAGCCAACTGGCGAAGCCAGCTGTTCTGAATGCCTATCAAAGTACGCTGTCATGCGAGTTGAGTAAGCGCTCACTGGATACAATTGAAGCTCACTGGTCTCATATTCACCAGACCTTACTAGCAGCAGGCAAATCCTCATGTGGTAAGTCTAATCGCCAACATGGACATTGGGTCTCTTCGCAGTCTCTGGAACTTATCGATGCTCGCCGGCATATTCCGGCTGGAAGCGAACATAATGAAACTCGCAAAGAGCTCCGGGCAAAACTCCGTGCTAGCCTGAAGAGAGACCGCGAATCCTGGTGGTCTCATCGTGCATCAGAGATGGAAATGGCCGCTGCCCTTGGTAACCATCGTAAGTTATTCCGTCTGATACGGGAAACGGGCAGCAGGAGACCTGGTGTTAGTGAAACAATTTATGACGAGAGTGGACAGCCTATCCACAATTTGTCAAAACGCTTGGAGCGTTGGGCTGAGCACTTTGAAAGGCAATTTAATCGGTCGGAATTGTTAGATTTCTCGCCGGCCACTGATCGTCCCGCTCCCTGGGCTGTCCCTTTGGATCCACCCTCTCGCTCAGAAGTCGAACGTGAGATCGAACTGTTGAAGTTAAATAAAGCCGCGGGACCAGATGATCTTCATCCAGCCCTCTTCAAATTCGGGGGACCTGCTCTTGTGGATGATTTATACGAGTTACTAGTGAAACTGTGGGAGCAGGAAACTGTCCCAACCGACTGGAGCCGCTCCGTCATAGTCCCAATTTTCAAGGGAGGCTCACGATCGGAATGCGGCAACCATAGAGGAATCAGTCTGATCTCCATCGCCTCCAAATTGCTTGCCTCTGTCATCCTTCACAGACTGACTGGCACTTGTGAAAGCCATATTCGTGAAGAGCAAGCCGGGTTTCGTCGAGGTCGTGGCTGCATTGACCACATCTTCACTTTGCGTCAGTTGTTGGAGCACCGTCACACATATTGGCGGCCCACCGTTGTCGTGTTCCTCGATATCAAAGGTGCATTCGATTCGGTGGATAGACGTGCACTTTGGGACTGTCTACTCAGGAAAGGTGTACCTGAGAAATATGTAAATATTATCCGAGCATTATACGCGCGTAGCTCAGGCAGAGTGAGGGCTTACGGCAAGCTGTCGTCGCCCTTTAATATCTCCAGCGGTGTGAGACAAGGATGCCCGCTGTCACCTTTCCTCTTCAACTTCGCTATTGACGAAGTCATGGAAATCGCGTTCACAGGACACGACTTAGAAGGTGTGGATCTGCTCCCAGGAGAACGACTTCTTGACTTGGAGTATGCTGACGATATTGCCCTAATCTGTGACAGCTCCCAGACGTGCCAAGCGGCACTGGACAGATTAGCACTGGCTGTCAGCCGCTTCGGGCTTTGCTTTGCACCATCGAAGTGCAAAGCGTTCCTCCAAGATTGGCCTGGACCGCCTCCTTCGCTGACCCTTGGTGGGGATCAGCTAGAAGTCGTTCAAAAATTCAACTACCTGGGAAGTTGTATCAGCACCCGTGGGATTGAAGATGAGATCACGAACCGTATAGCAAAAGCTCGAGGCGCTTTTGCTAACCTTCGCCACTTATGGCGCCGGCGCGACATCACTCTCGCCCTGAAGGGTAGAGTGTACAATGCAGCGGTACGTTCGACCCTACTGTACGGTTGTGAAACCTGGCCCCTTAGATCAGCGGACATAAAGAGGCTAGTTACGTTCGACCACCGGTGCCTTCGCAATTTAGCTCACATCTGGTGGGAACACCGAGTGAGCAACGAGCGTGTTCGACGCCTTGTTTACGGCACAGGAAAAGGAAATGAACCGCTCAGCACCGTTATTTCACGCACCAGGCTCCGATGGCTCGGCCACGTGTTACGCATGCCAGCCCACCGACTCCCGCGACGTGCGTTGTTTGCGCGCCGGGGGTGTGGATGGAAGAAGAGGAGAGGTGGCCAAGCGATGACTTGGTCGAGAGGAATGAAGGCCCTCACTTCGAAGCTGGCCTCAGTTGGAGCGTCTCGGCTCCCTGGTTGGGGTCCGAAAGACGATGAACACGTTTGGCTGGATACACTTGTTGATATGGCTAGGAGCCGACCTCAGTGGCGTTCGTGCTGTGAGTTTCTTTGTCCCACCCCATCCCTCTTAGCCTCCCCCTCCACCTACGATCTCATAGTTAACATTTTATAATTTTGCATAGTAAATTACTTTTTTTGCTGCATAGTAGCCTGCAGATAGCTTACCGGAACGATGCCCATCCGTTACCGGTAGCTCAGCTGGCTTGCACCTGTTGCATTTTATTCCCTTCTTTCCTTTTATGTATTGCGGCACAGTAGCTGAGGTGTTTCCCACCTCTAGCTAACGTGTATAGTGTGTGTTACAACTGGGCGGCATCCAGGACATGAGCGCACGGCACATTAGTTCCAGCTGGTCGGCGATCTGTCAGAATCTAGCCACCACAACCCTCAGTGCACCATAGGCTCTCTCGCCCACTATATAGTAACACGCTACCAAACACTGACGCATCGGTCTGTCAAAACGCAAGAGCTTAAAGCAGTTAGCTAGCAGCGATCTGCTATCCAGTTGTACATAATCTTAATTCCTCCGTCGCGTTCACAGTATCTTGAAATGTTGTCATTTGGAAGATGCGATCAATCTGCCAAGGTGAAATGTGGCGCTTACAGACGACCGACACTCAAATTGTCTGCGCATCACCTATGGGTCGATGAAAGCGCATGACAGTACTCCAGGATTGCAAATGAGCTTGTAGGATGCCTCTGTACGTCACAAGTGTGCCTGATGTGACTACGCTCTTAATGCTGCTGAACTAGTTAACACCATCATTCTCGAAATTTCCTGGATGATTTCTAGATGCATTACTGTATTTTTTCTTCTAGATACCATTGCTTTGACCCCACTGACGCACAGGTAACCGATACAACCACCCGCATCACGTATCAGCCACGTAGGCCTCCCCAAAACCTTTGTTTCAGCCAAGGAAAATACGACATTTTTCCGTCAAAAAGTTCGATAGTAATGATCTAGAAAAAGATTCCGAATCACTAGGAAGTACTAACTACAGAGAAACGCTCTTACTGGTTGGCTCCAAGCCAAATTTCGTCATTGACCGACTACCACCCAAATGGCACTCCCATGGCTTGGCTCCTGACCATCGAATTTCGAACTGGGTTGGTGGGGGATTCCTTTGAGGCGACTAACATGGAACATGACTTGAGAGGCTTCTATTGGTTGGTTTTCTTAACTACTCTGATGGCGCTGTTAGATTCGCTTGTCAGCTGCTACAGTCTGACGCCTCGACGTGTGCTTCGCGAATCAACTTGTTCACCGTTTGGGGCTTTGTTTTCAGCTTTCGGAACTTGTATTTTGTTGACGTCTTAAAGGTATAGTAGATCGGAACGCCTTTCATCTTCCGGATCTGGCCACATATATAACTCTGCAACCTTCGTGTCTCTTTGCCTCCATCCTATGGACGGCTTTTGCTTTTGAATCCCCTGTTCTGTTTCATCCGATTGCAACGTTTTTACCGTTAACGCACACCCTACCCATGTCCATTTGGTTTCTGAATTACCCTCTCAAGTCACAACTATACTGTCTGTTGTTGTCTCTGGGTTCTACTTAATAATGTCCATATACCTTATCTTGCGCCACGCATTGTCACTGCCCTGTTCGTTTCCCTTTGCTGTTTGACACCATAGTGTGAGAACCCTTGGAGTGGTGTTGCAGTCTGCGCCCTGGACTCGAATCTCCTCCCCCACCCCATAAGGTAGAGCTGTCCGGCACTATCCGGACCCGCATGCAACTGTTTGTGGCTACATAGTAACGTAATACTGATATACGCCTGTAGCCTTTTGTGAAATAATAATGATGTAATAATGTGTCAGCTGTACGTTGTAACGGCGCTTCGCTGCCGCGCGACCACCACCAGTCGCGCGCGGGCTGAGTATACCGTGAGGACGCCCACCCCTACGCGGATTCGAACCGGTGACCTTATGGTTGCAAAGCAAACGTGCAGACCACTCGGTCACCGGCTTGAAATCTTTTACTGCTCTGGATGATAATTGTTCCTATTATGTGTGCCAAATGACTTCCTTATTCTTCCACTACCTAGTGTCCGTTTCATTGCACCTGACCTCTTTTAGCGTTGGGCCAGATTCGCTCTTTCGAATGAGCTTGCTGCTGTCATTCTCGAATGTGGAATTTGGTCTCTCCTGTCTTAGGTTTTCGGATATTTAGAGACTACTTGTCTGCGCCTGCGCGCTATTTGGCTTTTCGGACGGCGTGGTTGTGTGCTTTTGAGTAGCAGGCAGTTCATTCTGTTAACAAACAAAGTCCATTGAAATGCAGTAACTCATACTGTGTGTACTCAGTCGCTGCTTTTGCCTCCTTTCGGAATGAAGAGGCTCAAGCCTCGAATGACTCCAGACTCTGGTTCATGCCGCATTCCACCTCCTACCTGGCGGTCCTCGGTTCTTTTGTTTGTTGTTAATTGGCATACATGTTTTGTGTTCACCTCTCATTGGTTCTTGCGGTAGATTCACACCAAAACACTGTGCATGTTTTCCTGCGTCTCTTACCATTCCTCTCCACATGAAAGTGCGCGGTGAAAACATACTAATCTCCGTTGTCCTGTGAATTATGATGCTCATCTTGAAACCCCCAAGATCAATTTTGTTTATCAGTTATTGCCTTTTGTGTTACGAAGTATATTAAATACCCTCCTCATCAGTTGCCCTCTTTTCTTGTTCCGTAGATTCGTCGCGATGGTTGGAAAGATCATCCTATCGTATTGCCAGACTTGGATCTCATTCAAGAGGATGATCAAATCACCCATACCACTTCATTGCTGGATCAGGTTGATCCTGAGGACCATTTGAATGTATTTCGTTTCGATCCAAACTATTTGGAAAACGAGGAAAGGTATGCACAAATTAAGGCTTCCTTCTTTGAACCCGACGAATCGGAAGGTGGATCCGACGACGAAGATGACAAGAGCGACTCGGATGATTCGGACGGTGATGAGGAAGATGCGGATGGTGAGCGGGCACAGAAGGCCTCCGCTGCCGCAGCTGGCGATCAGCAAACGATTGTGGACCAGACGGAGACCAATTTGGTCCAACTGCGCCGCACTATCTACTTAATGCTTCAAAGCAGTCTTAGCGCGGACGAGGCAGGTCACCGCCTCTTACAGCTGAAGATACGCCCCGGTGAGGAGTATGAAGTCGCCTGCATGGTGCTGGATTGCTGTGCTCAGACGCGCAGCTACGAGAGTCGATATGGCCGACTCGCACAACGTCTCTGTCGTGTGCTTTTGACTTTTGGAAATCAACCGTCGGCACCCGGACCTTCGAAACCCATCCCGGAAGAAATCGGACCTGGTAGTCGCTATAAATCGAGCTCGAATAAGCAGAACACCGCAAAGAGTTCCGACAACCCAGCACCGGTTGTCGAAGACGCTGGTCCTCCCAGAAGCTATGTAGCCGAGTTCGAGCGTATTTTCACCGAACAATACTCGGTGATTCACCGCCTCGAGACGGCTAAATTGAGAAATGTAGCTCTCTTCTTCGCGCACCTACTCTACACCGACTCTATATCATGGGGTGTTCTCCAGTGTGTTCGCTTGAACGAACGTGACACTACCTCCTCCGGCCGTATTTTCCTGAAGCACTTGTTCTTGGAGCTTTGCTCTTTCATGGGTTTGGCCAAACTACAAGCTCGACTTCGCGATGAGACGCTGCAGCCATTTTTCGCTGGTATCCTTCCACGTGACAACCCCAAGGATACTCGTTTTGCCATCAACTTTCTCACCACCATTGGTCTGGGTGGTCTGACTTTAGATCTACGCGAACATTTGCAAGCATCTCGCGAGGCTGCTCTGGCCAAGCGTGAAGCAGAAGCTAATTCTGCGACCGAAAGCGGTGAGGAATCGTTGAGCTCCTCATCCTCGAGCGATAAGGATTCGGATTCATCCTCCGACTCGGAGGTTCATCACAAATCTAAGAAACACTCTGGCGGTAAATCGAAATCGAAACGTAATAAAAAGAAGAAAAAGAAGCATTCGAAGTCGAGAACACATAGTTGATTGCGGCAGCTTGCTGTGATAAACGTTGAATCATATATCTGTTGTACATATTTTATTGACCATGCTAGTATCCATAAATTTGTTTTTTTTCGGTGCAACTGGTATCATGATTCTACCCGAAAACAACCAGGGCTAGCACAAATTTTTCCATTTGATCTGTGTGTATTTAAACTGGGCGGTTTTATCCGCAGCGCTATTTCAGTTTTTAACATTCCACCGCTCTTTTCTATATGTTGACATTGGTCATGGACCGTCACCCTCTGTTGGCCGTTCACTGCCCCGACAGACAAATGCGCGTAAGGATATTTGATCTTAGAATTTTGTGTGGTACGCTTGAACAAATGCGATTGAAGGTTACGTTTGTTCAAATAATCTAGTTGCCTTTTTCCACGTTGTCATTACGGTAAGCTTTAAAACGTGGAACTGTTGTTGTGAATTAAAACAGGTAACGTATGAAAGCCAAAGGTCAAAAGGTTCAATGCTCCTCGAATGCAAGGACGAGGGGTCACAAATGCTGGGTCGGTTGCAAGAACGTTCCGTTGTGTTAATTTTGATGCTTGACGTCCGTCTGCATCCATTGTGGTGTTTGGACTACGAAACACCTCTCCTCGAAAGCATTGGACGTGTTCTAATCAAAGATGAAAACTCGCATTCTGTTTATCCGATGGGGCAGGTGAATGAGGCTCAAAATTGCCCGAAACGTGTTAACTGCGATGCAGTTTAGATCATGGACACTACATACACTACTTAACCATACAGCGAATGCACGCAACAGGTTTCTGCATTGTTAATGCGTTGATTGCCTTAGTAGAGATTGCACCGGTTCCATGACGAACGCGCATAGGAAAATTACGCACAGCAAAAACACAAACCAATGCGCACGTGAGAAATATCCACACCAAAACTTCTCACCGGGAAACATTGTGGCTTTTTGTAAATACCCCCAATTTGCCTGAGTACGATGTGTGGAATTTTAATCAAAATTACTCCCATTGTACACTTAGGCGGCTGATGCGAATCGTTGACACACCAACTGCCGGATCCCTTGCGCGGCTGCGACACCCATTGACACTACCACTACCTAGCTTTCGCTGGTGTCATTTTATATCGGTTCACTCTATCCGCAAAGTGAAAGCGTGTCTCTTCATTAATGTGTTGTTCTGGACCTGGCTTGCCGCTGTTAAGTGCTCATTTTTACCTCAAGATATCGGTAAATCACTATTGATAAAGCACTCACATATTTTGATAGGTTGTATTTTCGTACCAAACGTAAATTGAACAATAAGTGTATCTGTTGAGGGTCATTTTGAAGTACACGTTGTGTGGATGGATTGTGACGCGCAATCTCAATGTTGACCGCGATTCTGATTGAAGTGAACCTTGGTCTTTCGATCACGAGGACTGTAGCTGATGAAGCAGATGGAAATTGGGTGTTGCCCGCTCGAAAACACTGCACTACTATGACGCGTTTCGATGTTATTTCAACTCATCAGATAGAGTTAGCAGGCATCGAACCCGGGACCATGGGGATGTTAGTTGTGCCCCCTACCCCTAAGCCACCGGGTCACGACGGGCACCGCTTGGCATAACGGTTAATGCTTATCTTTGAACCTTTCCTACAATACTTTCTTGATGCTCTGGCCGTCGCAGAGGATAATAAACGGCGCCCTATCTGCTGCATCGAGCAGGGTAAATAGGGGTATGGATGCTACCGCTCAGGCCTTCCCGTCTTCTTATACCCCTTCTTGCGCTTCTTCATCCTTATCGTCCCGCTCCAACTTTACTTACATCCCCCCATTTTCAATCCCCCAATTCTTGGCCCTCCCCCAGCTTACTTTAATACTCGCTTGTCTTCTAATTTCAAATCACACACAATCGCAGGGCCTCGCTCCAATCCAGTCGACAAGTCCATGTTCAACCAAGCCGACAACGTCAGCTCATCCGTTTCCCTTTGGAGTCCTCGTGTCTCGCTAAGATTGGCGTGCCTCAACCTGCGCACCTTGCTGCAGATTGGCCAACGGGCAGCACTTGCCCGCACATTAGAGACTCTCTCGATCGATATTTGCTGTTAATCAGAAACCGCCTGCAAGATTCGAGCTCCGTACTTACCCTGAGATCCCCCACAGGCGACACTGGCGGCACATTCTCATTGCGCCTGTCTGGCGATGATGCAGCTTCAAATGCGGGTCAAGTTGGCGTCGGCATTGTTTTGAGTCCCCGGGCTGAAGCTGCCCTGATTGACTGGATCCCAGTAAACAGTAGGATGTGCGCCGTTAGATTAGCTGGTTCGTTCCGTGCTGCGAAGTCGCGCGGGGACAAACGGTGCCTGTTTGTCATTGCGGCTTACGCCCCTACAAACTGTAGCACTGATTCGGTAAAAGATGATTTCTATCAGCAACTGCACGAGCTCCTTTGTTACAGAAGAAGCACGGATACTGTGGTGTTGGCTGGTGATCTAAACGCCCAAATCGGGAAATTGTCCTCTGATGAGCTTCATCTGGGCGGCCAACATGGTATAGGCTCCCGTAATGATAATGGTGAGCGATTGCTCCAGCTGTGTGAAGATGCTCGCCTCTTTCTCGCGAGCACTAACTTTCGACACAGCACCCGCAGAAGTGTGACTTGGCGGCCAGCAGCCTCGGGCCAGCCGTGGACGCAAATTGATCATATCGCGATCAGTTACCGCTGGAGAGGCTGTGTCCAAAACTGCCGCTCGATTTGGAGCACGAGCGTGGACTCTGACCACACACTTGTCTGCGCCGAACTCCGAGTGCGTTTCGGTGGACGTCCGCAACGTCGATGTGAACGGATTGACACCAGCCAGCTGGCGAAGCCAGATGTTCTGAATGTGTACCAAGATGCGCTGACATCTGGGCTGAGTAAGCGCCCACTAAACACCGTTGAAGATCACTGGTCGCATATTCGTCAAGCGTTGCTGTTAGCAGACATGTCTTCATGTGGCAAAGCAAATTGCAAAACCGAACATTGGGTCTCTACGCAGTCTCTGGAACTTATGGATGCTCGCCGACGTATTCCGGCTGGAAACGAATACAATGAGACTCGCAAAAATCTCAGGGCAAAACTACGTGTTAGCCTGAAGAAGGGCCGCAAAACCTGGTGGTCTCATCATGCATCGGAAATGGAAACAGCCGCTGCCGTTGGTAATCATCGTAAGTTATTCCGTCTGATACGGGAAACAGGCAGCAGAAGACCTGGTGTTAGCGAGACCATACGCGACGAGAGTGGGCAGCTGATCCACAGCCTGTCAAAACGCTTGGAGCGTTGGCCTGAACACTTTGCAAGGCAATTTAATCAACCTGAGTTATCGCTTTCTTCTTCGGGCATTGAGCGCCCTTCTCCCTGGGCCGTCTCCTTGGATCCGCCATCACGTACAGAAGTCGAACGTGAGATCAGGCTGTTGAAATTGCATAAGGCCGCAGGGGCAGATAGAATTCCCCCAGCCCTCTTCAAATTCGGGGGACCTGCTCTAATAGATGATATACACGAGTTGCTAGTAGAACTTTGGGAGCAGGAGACAGTCCCGACAGACTGGAACCGCTCCGTCATTGTCCCAATTTTCAAGGGAGGCTCTCGTTTGGAATGCGACAATCATAGAGGGATCAGTCTGATTTCGATTGCCTCTAAATTGCTTGCCTCTCTCATTCTCCACAGACTGACTGGCACTCGTGAAAGCCAGATTCGCGTAGAGCAAGCCGGATTTCGTCAAGGTCTCGGCTGCATCGACCACATCTTCACCTTGCGTCAAGTGTTGGAGCACCGCCATGTTTATTGGCGACCCACCGTTGTCGTGTTTCTTTACATAAAAGGTGCCTTCGACTCAGTCGATCGATGTGCCCTTTGGGACTGTCTGCTGAGGAAAGGTGTGCCTGATAAATATTTAAATATTATCAAAGCGCTGTACGCGCATAGTTCGGGCAGGGTGAGGGTTTATGGTAAACTGTCGCCACCCTTCAGTATCACCAGCGGTGTGAGACAAGGATGCCCGCTGTCGCCTTTCCTCTTCAACTTCGCTATTGGTGAAGTCATGGAAATAGCGTTCGCTGGACACGACCTAGAAGGTGTGCAGCTGCTTCCTGGTGAGCGACTTCTTGACTTGGAGTATGCAGACGATATTGCCCTAATCTGTGACAGCTCCCTAACATGCCAAATAGCACTGGATCGATTAGCACTGGCTGTCAATCATTTTGGGCTATGCTTTGCTCCATCGAAATGCAAAATACTTCTCCAAGATTGGCAGGGACCCAACCCTGCGCTAACGCTTGGTGGTGATCTGCTAGAAGTCGTTCAGGAATTCAAGTACCTGAGCAGCTATATTAACACCCGTGGGATTGAAGATGAGGTTACGAACCGTATAGCAAAAGCTCGAGGTGCTTTTGCCAATCTCCGCCACCTGTGGCGCAGACGCGACATTACTCTCGCCCTCAAGGGCAGAGTTTACAACGCAGTCGTCCGTTCAACTTTCCTATATGGCTGTGAAACCTGGCCCATCAGGTCGACAGACATAAAAAGGCTCGTCATATTCGATCATCGCTGCCTTCGCAGCTTAGCTCATGTCTGGTTGGAGCACCGCGTGAGCAATGAGCGTGTTCGACGTCGCGTATTTGGTGCAGGAAGAGCGAGTGAACCGCTCAGCACCATTATATCACGCACCAGGCTCCGATGGCTGGGCCACGTGTTGCGCATGCCAGCACACCGACTCCCGCGACGTGCATTGTTTGCGCGTTGTGGGTGCGGTTGGAAGAGGAGGAGGAGAGGCCAAGTGATGACTTGGTCGAGAGGAATGAAAACCCTCACTTCGAAGTTGGCGTCGGTTGGTGCATCCCGATTGCCTGGCTGGGGTCCTAATGATGGTGAACACGTTTGGTTGGACACACTCGCTGATATGGCTTGGAGCCGGCCCCAATGGCGTTTGTGTTGTGAGTTCCTTTGTCCATCCCCCTCCTGTTTAGCATCCCCTCCAATCATGATCTCACCTGATAGGTATAATATGACTCTTTTACGGCAGCCAGCTGTTAGCTCTCCGGAATGATGTCCATCCGTTACTGGGGACTCAGCGGGCGTGCCACCGTTTGTTTTCCTTTTCTTATCTTTTGTATTGCGGCACAATAGCTGAGGTGTTTTCCACCTCCAGCTAACGTGTAATGATGATGATGATCTTTGAAGATCATTTCGAAGTACACGTTATCTGGATGG